TGCAATGGAGGTCACTGCCCTAGGCCATGGGCCTTCTTGATCACCCATTGACCCCATCCAGGTAAGTATGTTGCTCATTGTCTTGTGCTTTCATTTTATATCCCATTCTTCAAACTACTTTGTCTAATATTTTCAATGTGGGACTCTTGTATAAGGCTAATTCAGATGGTCTCAATGCTTTGTCTCAAGGAAAGCAACCAGTGGTCCTAGATCCAAAGTAGAAAGGGTTTGTCTCCCAAGAACTGGTGTTCAATTACCACTGTGATTTGTGTTGCCTGTGGCAAGGATGAGGAATTTATGCACATTATGTTTTGTTGTTTTAAAGGAGAAAGCAAAATCTTCTAATTGAAGAAGGGTAGCATGGGGTATTGTTTGGTGGGGAATGTGCACAGACTATGGGGCCATCTACTTAAATGTGAAGAGTCTTAGTTTCACAAGAACTCAGTCACCTTATGTAATTTATACCAAGTTCATGGCATCTTTATGTGTAAATGGAGAGTCAGTTGATGACATGGTCATTGCAGTAATGTTCTTGTAGTAACTTCAAGTGTCATCAATATATCCTAAGTATACGGCAGGTAAGGTAACTACTTGGGACTCTGGTCAGTATAATTTTGATTATATGGGAATTTTGTGGAAGTAAAACATAGGACAAGTAAGTTGTATTGAAGATTTGTTGGTGGGATGAGCAAGTTGAGGGATTCATTTTTTTCCCTTCGCTCAAGTATGCTAGTGTTATCGTAGATTTGTTGCATTAAAATTGTTCTATACATTATGGAACCGATTTCTTTCTTTGGTGCTTTCTGTTTTCTACGTTATTTTGTCATGTTTGAGGAAATTGTGCAATCACTCCAGATACGACCACTCCTGGTGGACCTTTTGTGCTTCCTTCTTTGTGGTATTACTATCACTCATTCCATTTTGTGGACTTCTTGGACATGGATTCCTTTTCACAAGATAGAAAAACAGGTTGTCACAGAGCTAAGAAGGCTCTTTCTCATTCACAAACGTGACCGGTTCCTTACCATCTGATATCTTGTGCATTTTAAGAATACTACTACTCTTATGCTTATTCTACTTCAAAGGGAAAATTATGTCATTATCATGCAAAGAAATAGATAGAATCAACTTGGAAGGAGTTAGTGATTTTAGTTGCCCAAATTACTTAATAGATAATCGATTTTTTGAGTGCTTTGATAATTTTTTGGCTGTGGTAATGTAAAGTAGCTACATTGACAACTCAGCTGTTATTTTCAATTATTTGTCACAGTATCCTTAAAGTATGATGAACTTTTCTGATTTTGTTTTGCTTGTGACAGATATATCATTGCTAAAAGATACTTTACATGTGATTACGTTATCTTTTGACGCCACTTAAAGATTTCCTTAAATAAAAATGGCTTTCATATAGTTGAGTTAAGGCCTAATGAACTTCTGCAATATTTTGTTAAGCTCCTGGGTTTCATTTTATTTCTGCAAACTGTAAAACCTCTCTCAAGATATGGAACAAATCTTTGGTACTAGAGTATTATTAAGTGAAATTGTCCTATGAATTATGATTGTGTTTATTCTTAAATTTATTTTATACTACAATGCAATCTTGATTCGCTAAAATTTAAAAGATTAAAAGTTGACTGAACAATTACCTTTTCACTTCAACGTGAAAGCAAATTCATCTTGGAAAAAAAATAAATTATTTCAAAACACATTGCTGTTTTAATCTTAGGCTTTGTTAAGAGAGACTTTTCTAAAGACTAAGGTGGCAACTTATAAACCCTGTAATTTAGGGGGGAAATTTGACCAAACGAATCTATGCACTCTCAGGGTGAAGCTAAATATGGAAGAATTATGCTTATGTCATAGAGTTTACATACCTTAGAATTACTGGATAGAGTAATCTTAAATAAGCTTTATTTATCATAGTAGCAAGTAGTAACCTTAAGACAACTCAGATAAGGGTCAATGTATGATGATATTTTGTAATTTTGTTGTTGGAAAATTTAAAATAAATCAGCTCAAAGTGAATTAAATCCAAGTACAGATAAACTTTGGTAACTATGCATTAAGAAGTAATACCCATTTATGTCTGCGATGATATTTATGTGATAAAAAAGATCAATTCAACATTTACTACGTGTAATTAGTTTTTTAATTATTTGTACAATCTGCAGCATCATCAGTAAATGAACAACAAATAGGCTAAAAAGTCATCAGTTGATGTGAGACTCATTTGAACCAGTTGTTTTGGGACTAATACAAGTGGTCTAAAATTGCAAATGATTATAAATCTGAAGTAGGAGGGATTTGCACTTCACATGAAATACATAATGGGTTCAATGCTTATTCGTGATGACTTGTAGAGGTTCATCCAATAGATGCATATATTCAACTTAAAACGACTTTGTATTCATTTTCTTACCAAGATAACACAAGAAACACATTTAAAGACTAGCTGGCTTCAGGGGATAATTATTGGTCTAGCATCTCGAATTCTTGACACATGTTTTGTATCTTCTTTGGTTTTTGATGATACAAAAACAGGAAGGGATCCTTCTAGCTGGACATTATTTAATGTAAGTCTTTATAGATTCATTCAACCAGTGTTTTCATTCAAGATAGAGTCACAAAATGTAGTACACTGGAAGATGATGAGAACCACAAGTCAATTTTTCAAAGATAGATAGTACCGAATGATAATAAAAGACCAAATCAAAAAGCAACAAGAAGTCTCAATTAAAAATTTAGAACATCCTCAAGAAAAATGCTATTTCACCAGCTTTACTTTTTGTTAATCATCAATGACATGAAAATTGAAAGTTTCAGTTGTTGCAGAAAATAAATGAAGTGTGTGCTTTATTAAGCAGTGTGCATACGAAATATCAATTGAGTGTTTTGATGTCAGTTAAAATGGCATGTGTGTACGTTTTGGATCCATAAGCTACTTCAAAAAAATGCAGCTCAACCACGTCAAACGTACACTAAACAATTTGTTGTGATGTGTGTAAACAAAAAATTTTAATATAAGACATCAAAGAATGGACCCCACGTTGTCTCAACCGGTTGTTTCGCTTTTCATCCCTCAACTTGAGAATACTCATTAAGAGAAAAATAAACTAAGAAAAATATGTTTAGGCTAATGTTAATTTCATTACAATCAAAGAATAACAGAAGAAGCTGAACCGGTGTTTGGCAAGGCATTATAATAGCAAACTTCAGAAATCCACTAAGTTCCGAACCAGCATCAGGCAAAATACTTGCTTAAATTAATAGTCATCCTTAATATCTATAAATGTGCTTAAGAATCAGCAGAATCCATATTTTAAAAATGCAAATCTGTATTTATCTGTATGTTTTCAAGTAAATAACTCAACACATGCAGATTCCTAGAATTTATCATAGCAATAATACAGAAATGTCAAACTTAAAATTCTAATTTTTGATTGTTTTCAAATGAATTACCGTAAACTCCATTAAATTTAAATTGAAATTGGAAGGGGCCGCGCGAACGCAGGCCCCCACTGCCACAAATTATGATGTAGGCTCTACCACTTGGGCAGACCTTAGGGAGGCACCCCTCCTAAGTGCAATGGAGGTCACAACCCTAGGCCATAGACCTTCTTGATCATCCATAGACCCCATCCAGGTAAGTATGTTCTTCAATGCCATAAGCTTTGCTTTTATTTCACATCCTCCATGCTACTTTGACTATGCTGTTCAATGTGGGACTCATTTAAACAGAGTGCTCTTGAAGGCTAATGCAAGTGGTCTCAGTGTGCTCTTCAAACTTGAATCATTATAAGATGTGCTGATCCTGGTTGTAGATACCCAATTGAAACTATAAATGAAGGTATGGAACTATAAATGACTTTGTTTCTTAGTAGTAGAGATGATGATATTTTCTGATTAATACAGTCACCTTTTTGTTAAAAGATTGGCTATGTGTTCCTTTGATTAGGTGGAAGCATGAGAAAATAATTTGGAACTTGTTTGTTTCAATTTCTTTATAATTGTAACTAAACAAAAAATAATAATTTTTAACTTTTCATAAAATGTAGACAATTTTTTTAATACATTCTTAAAATAATATTTTAAAAGCATAGACAAACTGACCCTTGGAATCACCTATTATTATAGCTTTGATTTCAAACCAATAATGGATTGAGTCCAGCGCCAATAAAAAAACAATGCCATTTGAAAAAGACACTTGGAATCACAACAAAAGAATCTTTTCTCCAGAACGAGGCTTAAAATTAAACTTGCTCCATTCTGCCTAAAATTGGTAGTCACAAATTAACCACTAAGAGAATGAAATATAATAATTTCCTGACCAAATATTTATACAAGAAAATACTTTCTATATTAAAAGGAGTGGTCTTCTGCAGCAAGACATCGGCTTATGCCTACTTTCAGGATTATTGTCATTCCCAAATCTACATTTGTGATATACCATCCATAATTTATTCCAATTATATTCTGTTTAAAGTTTCTTCAAGCAATTTATTGTTAAATGAGCCTGTTATAATGTGTTTGTAGTACTGATAAGCCTCTAGAAACACTTTATAATAATTCACTGGTAAAGATGAGAAGAAATTCCCACTCAGGCATAGCAAAGACATTGATAAGCATCTTCGACATCACTTGCCAGGGCTTTCAATTGTAGGGCAGCCTCACATAAAAGGTAAACAATACATCTAGCTAGGCTGTGATCCAAGATAGATCAGAGGCTGTCATTTGTTTGAAAAAAGTAGATTCCATTGTTTTTTTATTGGTTGGGACTTAGATCAGCTTGCACATATAAAACATGGCTTAATACAGGAGAAGAATAAATGCAAAGAAAGATAACTATTTGGCCATATAGTTTGTAGAGAATGAGTTGATGATAGAAATATTAAGCATAAAATGAGATGCCTCACTTTGCATCTTTTACTTTGGCAACACATAGTTTTCATTTACATTACACTAAACTACAACAGTATAAAGCAAATTTAAAACTCAAATTGGGAGGGGCTGCGCGAACGCAAGCCTCCGCTACCACAAATTATGACGTAGGCTCTGCCACTTGGGCAGACCTTAGAGCAGCACCCTTCCTAAGTGCAATGGAAGTTACTGTTCTAGGCCATAGGCCTTTTCGATCGCCCATTGACCCCGTCCAGGTAAGTATGTTGCCCAAACTCATAAGCTTCACTTTTATAGCTCGTCCTTCACACCACTTTGGCCATCGTTTCAATATGGGACATTTTTAAACCAGGTGTTTTGAGGGAATAAATTAGTGGTCTCAAGTTGCAGTGTGCTCTTTCTAAAGAAAATACAATCAGTGGAGTTACTTCATAAGTAGGTTGGCAAGGATTCATGAGTTTAGGCATACTTAGTTTTTTGTTGGAGTCTGAAGGAGAAAGCAACATCTTCTGATTGAAATTGGGTGGCTTATGGTATTGTTTTGGTGGGGAGCTTGCACAGACTCTGGGCATTTTCTTAGGTTTGAAGAGTCTTAGTTTCACAAGAACTCACCCACCTTATGTTATTTATACAAATTGCATGGCATCCGGATGTGTAAATGGAGTGTTATCTGCATTTTGAGACAAAGTCATACACAAACAAACACCTGATGTGTTCTGCTTTATTAGGTCAGTTCCTTATATACCTAGCATTCCTCTTGTTATTAAATGAACTTAAACAACCGACATTATATCTTTCATATTAATATGGTGATCAAGATAAAATGTCAGACAAACAATTTTTATCAAAACATATACGGGATATCTATTAGAATTTTCCTACTAATTGTTTGCTAGCGCTCCTTTGCTCAAAGAATGAATTCCCTACCTGGTTAATTATGCAAATATCAAAGAAAGAAAAGGGGAATCAAGATTCCAAGTTACTAATTATTGAACAATAGTTCTATTCATATGTAAGACTCAAATCTTATAGTATGACCCTGCCACTAAGCATCCAGTTAGCAAAAGAGAATACTCTCTAAGGATTCAGATCCATACATGATTTTCATAATAAAGACTGGATTGTACTACATCAAAATATAATGGTACAAAAAAATAGAAATGATAAAAATATATGATAACAAGATTGGACAAGAACTCTCGTTCTTACATCAACAACCTGGAACAGACAACTCACTCATATTCTTCCACAAATTACTGACACATGCTAATGTAATTTCCCACAACATTTGTCATCCAAAATACAAATACAACATTTGCAACTACAATTGGAACATTTGTTAACTAAAAGACATAAATTGAGAGGAGCCACGCGAACGCAGGCCCCAATACCTCAGATTATGATGTAGGTTCTGTCACTTGAACAAAGACCTTCTATTTTATTTTGTTTACTGAGGGATGCAACATCCAAATTCACTGATTCAAAACCTTCAACTTCCTTGTCATATTTCTTTGGTAGCGGCAAAAGTTATAAATATTGTCAATGATATTCTATAACTAATGCATGCGTTTCATTACATTTATCAACACACATCCATTCTACCACTCCACATGGGCTTGCCAAATAATTTTTACAACTTTCATCTAGGGAAGCTCCGCAGCATCATTCATAAGTATGGAAGTTAATATTTATTAGTACTCAGTATATGATAAGCCTCTTGCAAACCCCTCTTCATAATTATCCGCCACTAATTTACTTTTCCAGTATGCATTAACTAATTAAAAATGGAAAAAGTTGAGCACTTGTCCTATTTAGCTATAGGTCTGATATAAGATAAGATCAGAAGCATTGCCAATTTCTTGAAAAATGTAACAGCTTGCAAAGAAAGATAATTACTTTCTGCACATATTATTTATATATAGAATGAGTTGATTATCAATAAAGATGATATTTAGTATAAAAATAAATGGCTAGCTGCATAATACCAAATGACAGATGGGGTTTTATAGTGTTCGTAGGTATTTAATCGAAAGATTTCAAGGAATTTAATAAAGGCTAATGAATACGTTCAATATTTGTAAAATCAGTAACCTCAGAACATTTGAAACTAAATTGGAAGGGGCCGCGCGAACGCAGGCCCCCACTGCCACAAATTATGATGTAGGCTCTGCCACTTGGGCAGACCTTAGAGCAGCACCCCTCCTAAGTGCAATGGAGGTCACTGCCCTAGGCCATGGGCCTTCTTAATCACCCATTGACCCCATCCAGGTAAGTATGTTGCTCATTGTCCTGTGCTTTGATTTTATATCCCATTATTCGCACTACTTTCTCTAACATTTTCAATGTGGGACTCATTTAAATTGAGTGCTTCGGAGACTGATTGAAGTGATATCAAGTTGCAGATTGTTTTTATAGAATGGATTCGCCTCCACGAATATGGGAGCCCTATTAATATATACCTCTCTAGTAGTATATACCTTTCCAGTTGCCTACGTTAGTCTAGGACGATTACTAGATTTATGAATATCCCCTATTAATGTTGGAATGTGAAGGTTCATCTTCACCAATGAATAAGAATATCATTTTTCAAGTATTTTCTGTAAACACCAATTTAATAATAATTTTTCATTGTTTGATGAATGCTAGCCTATTAACCTTATTTCTTATAAGTTCGAAATATTATTTATTATTTTTCTGCAGCTTATAAAAACAAGCCAAAAACTTGGAAGGAACACATTAAGATGTTGGTAATGGAGGATTTTGTTGGACAGATTTAAAGGTAGGTACTCCTTATATTCTTATGATGATTCTTCCAAATGACAATTGGGAAGCACTGATACATTGCGTTCGTGATTTTTTCTTTTTAATTTTTGAAGATCAAAGTTATAGACAACCTCAATTTCTCGAATTTCTTATCTGAAAACTATGGGAACTGATAAATGAATTTGATTTTTAGTGCAACGCATGATAGTATTTGTTATGAATTTTAGTTAGGAATAATAAACCTCTTGCAACCCCTTGTGATGTCCAGCACATTTCGGTGATTCGGTGCCGTTTTTTTTTACTTCCTAAACAAATAAATAATATTTTAATAAGTGAATAGTAACTTCATTTGGCTATAAATAGCCGTGAGGAATGAAATCAGAGGATGCATCGCAAGAGTGTTTATCAAGCATTGATAGAATTCTAGTGAGAGAAAAATAGAGTGTTGAGTAAATCCTAAGAGTGTGAGAAAAATACATTAGGGTGGGTATCATCTCTATTTCTTCTTGGTATTACAAAATTTGTAATATTTGAATAGGAAGTGGGTCTCACTGGGTACACTATATTTTACATCTCTTGTGTGATAGAGTGTTGAAAGGATATTGTAAATATCTCAAGATATAGTGGAATATTTTTCGGAGTTTGTCCCGTGGTTTTTCTTCCACATTGGAGGTTTTCCACCTTAAATATTGGTGTTCTTTATCTGCTTATTTTATTCAGTTAGAATAATTCTTAGTATGCTTTGTGGTTGCAGTTTAGTCTGATTTTCCACATCAGAAAAGAATTATTTCTGTTATCCTTCCGTGGCTGATTGTTGGATTGCTGGAGAAGTGTGTATTTGTATTAGTGTTGTAACTGGAAAGGTTCTGGCTAAGGAAAGACTTGGTATTGAAGTGATCCGTTGTGATCCACCTCTCTTTCCTGGGAAGTATTCCAGTGCACACTTTACAAATTACACCGCTGCGCTGCTAGATCTATTTATTAGGTCTGAATTATTGCTCGCCAGTTTACGTCAGAATTTTAATTTACACATCCAAGTTATTCCGCATTTGAGCCCAACACCCCTCTCTATAATAATTCACCAAATTTGATTGTTTATTCAATATGCATTAAGTAATTAGAAATGGCTTCACTGAAAAGTGAAAAGACATTCTCAGTATACCGAAGCTATGGCATAAAGCAGCATCTTCAGCATCATTGTATAACATTTTAAGATAATAAAGTAAACTTTGCATTTAGCAAGATCTTGATACAAGATATTAGATGCATTGCCATTTGGTTGAAGTAGTAGCTACCCTTGAAGTTACTATTATTATTTGGACATGATATCAGTCTGCACATATCAAACAAATCTTAATACAAGAAGAAGAGCAATTGCAAAGAAAAATAACTACTACACATATAGAATGATTTTACATGATGTGACATAAAGTATAAAATTGTCATAATTGAATCCCAATGCTTTCGACTGTAAAATTGTTTAATATGATAAAGCATACTAAACTATAGTTAGGAGGGGCCGCGCAAACGCATGCCCCCGCTACTTTCTTTAACACATTAAATGTAGGATTTATTATTACTTAAGTGTTTTGGAAGCTCTATAGCCTCTACAAGTCTACTCAACATTATTGATCAGAAGTTTGTTATCCACATGCAACTGCTACATCATAATCACGAAACTTTTGTTGATGTAATCTTGTGAAGAAATAAGAAGGAAAAAGGACCAGCCTCCGTTAACAATGTCAACAAAAGTATACTTTGCATCAAATACCTAGAGAAAGATAGGCTGAGATGGAAATTCATCATTGCCACCCTTATTAAAATTGATCTTCATATTAATTTGGTATCACTTATCCATCATTGTATAACCTCTCCTACCTTTTTCCTTAACTGAAACAATAGTGTCTTTGAGTCTTTCATTCCCTCTAGAGGCATTTGCCAAGGAAATCCCTTGTCTTCTTACCTTTTTGTCCTATGTATTGAGAGACTGGCCCATTTGATTAATGAAAAAGTCCTTAGCAAGGCATGGACTCCTTTTTCTTTTAGTAATCAAGGGCTTGACATATCCCACCTTTTCTTTGCAGATGATATTATTATTGCCAAAGCAAATCTGCAATAAGCCTTTAACATTAAAGATACTTTAGAGGCCTTTTGTGCTACTTTAGGGTTGAAATAATCCTAATAAATCCTCCTTGGTTTTCTCTAAAAATACCAACCCTAACTGCATTCATGGAATTAGTGATGTTTTAGGAATCATCCCTTCCAGCCATCTTGACAGGTATTTGGGATTTCCAAATGCCCATAATAGACCTAATAAAGGGCACTACACTTTCCTCACTAATAAAATACGGAAAAAGCTGAACCTCTGAAAAATGAAATCTCTCTCCTTTACTGAAAGGGTTACCCTGGCTCAACCCCTCCTTCTAAGTGTTCCTCCTATATCATGTAAATCTCTACTATCCATATTTCTATTTGTAATGATATCAACAATATCTGTAAGCACTTTCTATGGGACTCTCTAGGTGCAAAAAAGTGTCATCCCATAGGTTGGCAGAAAATATGCAAGCCTAAGACTGATGGTGGTCATGGTTTTAGGGATCTTAAGACTCTGAATAAAACTTACCTAATGAAGTTATGGTGGAGGTTTTCTTAATACTCTGTGGACCCAAATCTTTCACAGCAAATATAAATTTAGGATAGGAAAAGACCCTAGGCTATGTAACATTTATCAAGTCTCTCATCTTTGAAGAACTTATTATCTGTTTGGCCCAACTTCAATCAAGGGTTAAGTTAGAATTTGGAGGATAGTCTAACTATCAAATTCTAGTATGATAACTGGACATCCCAATTTCTTGTTTTAGCTAATTTTTCTAAGTTCACTATGCCTGAACCTGACTTGGACCTTCTAGTAGGGTTCTTTTCCTTTAATAATAATTGGGATTGGGAGAAACTTTCCAATTTTCTCCCTCATTAGGTCTGCCAGTCCATAGCTCTCATAGAGCCTCCTATTAGATCAGGTGTTCTTGATTCTGTCTACTGGAACAAAACTAGCAATGGGATTTTTTCGATCAATTCTGCTTACATTCTATTGTATAGACCTGGTCACATCCCTAAGTATAACAAGGAGATTTTTAGGCTAATTTGGACCTGAGATAGTCCTCCCAAGTTAACTTTTTTTCTCTGGAAGGTGGCCCATGAGAAGCTTCTACCAAATGAGGAGAGGTGTACGCAAAACATGTCTAATTCCTCTACTTGTCTAAGATGTAATGTCAAAATCAGTTTCAAACCACTTTGTTTTTCCTCAACAATGGGTAGCTTTATTTAGTAAAGGAATTTTAGATTGGTTAGCTTTTAACTTATCCACTCAAAATATCAACCTTTTTTCTAATTGAGAGAAAATTTTTAGAATTATTGTTTGGAATTTATGGAAGGATAGAAAAACTTGTGTTTCAAAATGTGTCCATCCAACCAAAATGACTTAATCATAAAATTCTTTGTGATTTTATATATATTTTTCCTTACTGCAGGGATAACCATAGCTGTTTGCAGCAATAACCTTGGTTCTCAGCAGATTGCCTTTGATCTTCCACACCAAGAACCATCTCCACACTTGTCATCAGAACTTGTGTTTCACATGGTTATTGCAGCCACAATTATGAAGTTTGTGAATTCTCCCTAATTTACAATTGCAACCATTTAATTACCAACATCTTTTTTCTTGATTTCCACAATTGTAACTCAACAACTATTATGATTGCAGTTACAAATTAAAACATGATCAAAACCTTCTTCACTATGGTTAGCATTAGATTGATAATATGCTCACTCCTCACCACTCTATATTCATTATTGTATCAAATAAAGCCCTATTCGGTCACTCCCAAAATCAAAAGGAACCGAGTACCCCTTCGATCTTATCCTAGGACAAAGGGTTCAGCTTTACCTTTGAACGAAGGGTGCCAATAACCCCTTTGGCCTTATACTTGGATGAAGGGTGCCAACCACCCCTTCGGCCTTGTCTTAGGTCAAAGAATACCAACCACCCCTCTAGCCTCACCCTTAGATGAGAAGTGCCAACAACCCTTTTAACCTTATTACTCTATACTAAATACTTATTTGATCATCAAAGTGTCATTGCAAGTACTTGCCCTCATCTTGGATAGCAAAAAACTTGGAACTTCATCAAGGATACCCTAGCTAGATGTAAAGATAGGAATAGGTAGAGCAAGAAACCTCTGTAGCAGAAAAGGAAACGGGTGTATTCAAAGCAGGAACAATTATGATTTACGAGTCCCACAATAACCAAACATTTGGCAAACACATTGTTTATAAACACTCGGACAAAAGTGTTACCATAGTGAGTTGGGTTTATCACCATTCACAAATCCTGCAAGTTGCACATTAGTATTCCTCACTTCTTCTCTTTCAATATTCTTTATAACTAATGGAATTTTTTATTGAGAAAATGCATAACTCCAAAAGATCATCAAAGACTTTACGAAGTTATCATTGTGTCATAAAAACCAGTGTTTTAAATTGTTTTTGCATCTTCAATTATGCGTTTGTGAAGTCTCTCAGATAGACATTGCAACGGTATATCAACACGCATTTCTTCACATTTTTGGCCATTAATTGCAACACAAGAACTATTATGACCTCATTTGCAATTAAAAACATGATCAAAGCCATCTTCACAATGCTTAGCATTAGATTGATAATATGTTCGTTACAACTCTACTTCCTTTACAACTCCCACATTGCCAATATATTTGGCAATCACGTTGTTTATAACCACTCTGACAAGAGTATCAACATGCCTAGTTGGGTAGCACTAACTTGTGACCCAAGTGGAGGCATCAAGATAATAGAACATGACTTTGGCTTTGCTGGGTTGGGCTGAAGGCTGCGCCAAGTTGGCTTGCCCACTCCAAGTTGAGAGGTTGAACTATGGGGCCTAAGCGAAGGCGTTGGCCTCATGGTTCCTAGATTGTGGGGTATAGCGTGAGGCTGGTTTCACAGAGCAGCGACAACCTTGGCTCGCAACAGTGGAGGGATAGCATGCTACTGCACCTTATGTCTACCATAGCCCAGTGAGCCTAGCCACTTGAACTATCATCTTTTTTTTAGTACAGCATAAATGCATGCATAATTGATTCAATTCTTTAATCACATTGCCAGTCAATTGGATATGAGTAACCCAACAATTTCATTTCATTTAGTTCTTGCCAATTGTTTCTCAAAGTCTTTTCCCTTAATCATTGGATCTTTAGACCTTTAAAGGCAGAATAAAATATCCATATCTTATTACAATGAATGGTACACTCACTTGTCGTAGTCATTGACTTGAAATATAAGGATTACTACGAACTCGTGTTCAATATACGAGCAGCAGAAATTTTCATGTACAGTAATAAGAAAAGGGTCTGTGAACATAAGCTTCGAAGACGATAAAGGGAAGATAAAAAGTTTGTCATCACTTAACTGTAAGAACATATTTTGCTTCATCAATGTGTAATTTCGGTCTCCCATTTTTATTAATTCTAAAATAAATCCGATATTATATTAAAGGTGTTTTTTTATGGTACCTTATAGATATGAGGGTTTAGAACTTGTTCAATTTAAGCATGATATATGTGTACTTATTTAATGTTGTCAAATTTTTAATTGTTTGTGCAAAGGCTTTTAAATTAGGATATTATAAGAAGGTTCTTTGTAATAAAAATAACATTTTATAAATACGGTAAATAATTTAATAAAAATACTTTATTAATCTATTTTATTTTATTATATATTATTTTGTTGTTAAACCTAAATCCTTATTCCTAATATTGTCTTTCTGAAATTACTTCTCCCTACTCGGTGGAGGGTTGCTAATGTTATTGTTTCATCCGTATTATTTGGTATCGCTGCCATGTTTTTTGTTTCCCCCCGTGAATACAGCTGGTGCACCTGCTATTTTTCCCATTTTTTCCATGGAAATTGACGTTAATGCTTTAATTGAGGCTTCGATTTTTCATATTAATGGGTATTGTTGTTGCTTTTTTTTCCTTAATGGGAAAGATTAATACGAGAGTTGTTGTCTTAATTATTTGTAATTATTTTTATCAATTTTACAAAAAATGGTGACAAAAGATGAAGATGGTGCAAACATTAATGAGGAGATGAAGCCTGGTGGAGAGGAGAGGGAGGAAAATTGAAAGTGCTAGAACTAGGGATTTTTGCAAATATTGATATCGAAATAATAAAATATTAAAAATTATAATGGCATGATAGTGATAAGATAAATATTTATTATCTAGCTCATTAGTTAATGAAACTTAATTGACTGTAAAGACAAATTCCAAACAATTTAAAAATGTTAGAGATTAAATTCTAATAATTTTTTTCAGAACTAATTTCAATGGATGTTATTTTTGTAGGAACTAAAAATATAATTAAGTTTAAATAAATTATATAAGGCATTAATAAATAAACATATCGGTTTTTCAATTGCACTGTATCCAATGATATCATGACAAAATTATTTGTGCTAAAATGGACATTACACTTAACCCAAAACCTTAACACTATTAAGTTCTGAGTCATCTTTACTTATATGTTGTTCAACTTCTTTATTCTTATCCAAAGATAGACTTTTCACTCACACTTGACCTCATCAAACTCCTATAACCTTTGTTAATTATGTATACTTCTCGTGACTGGAATACACAATACTGATAGTCTTCAAAGCTTGACTCCACTACGTCATATTTCACTTTATAGTTCACTAACTTGGAGAGCAATTAATAGAAAACTAATCTCTAGGATTCACTTGAAGAGCAATTACTTTAGCACTGTTCTCTAAGAAAGACTTGGAAAATAGTGAAAATTTAACTGATTTCTAAAGTTATTTTTGGATAATAATTACGTACTAATACTTTTTAAAGTCACTTTTAGAGAGCGATTATGTGTTAACTGTTCTCACAAATTAAAATTTTAAGAAGCCTTAGCAACTTTTAACTTATAAATCCATGTAAGGATAAAATACTCTCAACTCATAGTAGCATCATGAATCTTTTTTTTGCTAAAAATGTTTGTCTCTTCCATATCTCTTGGTACCTTTGTCACACTTCTCTCTTCATTCTTTCTTTCTTTTTACTAGTATTTCATTCATTTGGATGTGAACTATTTGGTTAACACAACATGAAAACTCAAGTTTCGATGAGACAAAGAATCGATTTTGGTTTGTGATTAAAAAACTAAAAAGGAAGAATTTTGAATTTAAAAGACATATAAACTCAAATTTAAACATAACATAATATTAATTTTGGTTTGTAATAGAAAACTCACAAGGAAAGAAATTTCAAATTCAGAGTTCATAATTTGGAGAGCGGTTATATGAACCACTTTCTAAGTGATATCTATTTTGGATAGCAATACTTGTTAGAATAGTTTAAACCATTCTCTAATATTTTTTTTTATGTTGTAGTGCTATTAGAAATATTAAGTCTTTGATTTCTCTTCAACTAATGGTTTGGCCACCTCATTGCAATCACTTCACACTAAAGGAGAGTGTGGGAAGTTTGAATTTTGGGTGATGAAAGATGATACAAATACACATTACTTGAAACTTAGGTCACTTCTAGTTTACTATTACTTTATTTTGATATTGGAATACTACCATGTATGTTGAAACAAGAGTTAGGTTTCCGATTCTACCACCTCACTTCTCTTTCTCCAGTTACTCTTAATGGATTTAGGGAGGAAGATATAGTTAACACCTTGCTCAAGGAGCAATTACTACTTCTTACTTTTGAGACTCTGCTCCTATTTAATTTTGATAGTTTAAAGTCATTAGAATGTAAAAAGCTTCAACATCTCACTTCTCTTAAGGAGCTTAAAACCTAGTATTGTGAAATCAACTTAACACAAATCATTACAGGCTCCAGATAAATAGACTTATAATCATAAATCAATTCATTATGTTTATATTCTTTGATAACCCTCTCAAAATTATGCAAAAAATCTACAAGCTATTTTTTCATTGTATGTATCTATTGATGAATGAGTTACTACCTTCACACAATGATATAGTTCTAATCCTAGCAAAAAAATTATCTCACATGAAAGCATTTGCCCACCTTGTTTTCATGCTAAATACATTATTCACCCATTAGTTGTCAAAAGGATTATATTTGTCAATTATCTTGTTCCAATCTAATTCAAACTCTTTTGGGGAGAGGTCCACATAAATTAGAAACTTAAAATTAACAAATTGAGAATTTTTAACATTCTCAATTGCATTCTGGTAGAGATGCCATGAACATGGTGTGATGCATTTGGAAATATGTCCTTAATAGCCTCTCTCATTGCACTATCACCATTAGTAACCACTACTTTAGGATGCTTGTTGTAATGCCCCAATTTTGTAATGTTGTTTAAATTTTATATATATATATATATATATATATATATATTTATTTATTTATATATATATATCCATATGTGTGTTGATTTACTTGATAGTGATGTAAATATATGTATGTGACCTTATTATGATATGAGTTTGTGGTTGGAATTAGACTAAAGGAAAATAGGCTAAGTTCTGGTGCAGGGCATTCTCGCTGCAGTGAGAGATGTCTCGCTGTAGTGAGAAGACCCTGGGTGAAAGGCATGCGTCT